GGGGAATGCTAATGTACTCCCACCTATTTTTTAGTGGGAGTATGTTAGCAACCTACACCAATTTTTTAGGACAAAAAAACCACTCATTTATTTTGATTTGGTTAATTCGTACAAAGGATATTATAGTAATTTAATTTAATTTTAAATGAAAATAAAATATTTTCTCTCTCTTATTAATTTCATTCTCTAAATCATTTCTCTCTCTTATTAAATTTCTTCTCCAACTCATTTCTCTTTCTTATTAAATTTTTTCTCTAACTTATTTATCTCTCTCCTATTAAATTCTTTCTTTAACTCATTTCTCTCTCATATCTCATGATGTCTCCCTCCTCTCTCTCTGAACAAATAAAAATTAATTAATAGAAAAAATAAATGAATTGGAGAATGAAATTAATAAGAGAGAGAAAATATTTTATTTTCATTTAAAATTAAATTAAATTACTATAATATCCTTTGTACGAATTAACCAAATCAAAATAAATGAGTGGTTTATTTGTCCTAAAAATTGGTATAGGTTGCTAACATACTCCCACTAAAAAATAGGTGGGAGTACATTAACATTCCCCTATATATATATATATTCTTTCAACTACTGTTATTATCATTTTCATTGTTGCAACAAAAATGGTGTTAGTGGTGACAATGATAACACCAATGATGACAATAATGATAATAATGAAGATAATAGTAACAATTATAGTGTCAATAACATTGACTTTCGTCAACACCAACATTGTTACGATTATTGTTATTATCACCATTACTACCATTATTACCTTCATTAGCTTAGACGTTGATACTCATGCCTACTTCACCGCAACTACCATGATCATAGTTGTCCCATTTGAATTGAAATCTTTAGTTGGATTGCTACCATGTGGTTGGGGGCGGGGAGGGGGAAGGTTCGATACAATACAAATCATCCATGTTATTTGTTGTAGGGTTCATCTTTTTGTTCACAATAGGAATCATTGGAATAGTCATGAAAAGTTCTAGGCTAGACATTGCTCTACATGATACTAATTATATGGTTGCACATTTTCATTATGTATTTTCTATGGGAGCCGTTTTTGCTTTATTAGCAGGGTTTCACTGTTGGGCGAGTAAAATCTTTGGTTGGACATACCCTGAAACTTTAGGTCAAATCCATTTTTGGATCACTTTTTCCAGGACTAATCTAACTATTTTTTTTTCATATATTTCTTAAAACTTTTGGATATATGACGTCGCATTTCAGATTATTAAAATATTTACGTTACATGTAATGTCCTTAACAATTTTTACTCTTATATATTCATAGTTGAAATTTGATATTTCTTCGTGGTCATAACAATCACTTCAAAAAATGAAAATGAATAAATAATAAAATGATCAATTTCAAAAATAAATAAATAAATAAACTATTATAATTATAATTTATATTATTGTGATTCCATTTTGTTGAAAAATATTGCAAATAATTTTTCCCTATTTTGACCTCTAAAATCTAAACAAGCATGTTTTCAGCACAAATTTTCATTTTCACTAAAAATAAAAACAAAAAACGGACATATTAAATAAATCATAATGTTAGTGGGAATGGATATCTTTTTCTTTTTTATTTTGTTTTAACAGATACGGAATTGCTTTTATTGTATTTATTTATTCTAAATAATTCTTAAAATGATTTTAAAAAAAATGGAAAATGTTATCAGTTATCATAACGAAAACGACGGCGTTGGTTTCTTCAGGTGAAACGACGCCGTTGTTAGGGAGATATTGAAACATTTTTGTTTCTTCCAATCCATGCCCCTCCCCCCCAATTAACGTTGATTTATTAGAAGGGTTCAAATCTCGAAATCGCATCGTGTCCGTGACCGTAACCCTTCTTCCAAAGTTCCAACTTCCCTCTGCTTCTAAATTCTAATGGTATCTTTCGATCGAAGGGTTTGTTAGGGTTTAAGCTAAACCTACCCTAAACCCTAAACTTCCCAATTTCCTCTCTCGATCTTTCACTCTCTTTCCCCATTTCATAAATTGCGAACCCATACCCTCTCACCTCGTGCCCTCAGATCCAATCACCACCCTCTTATCACTGGTAAGCTTTTCTTTTTTCTTTTTTTGTTGCTCACTTTTTAATTTCCATTAACGAATCTGTATACCTGGTTCCCCCTCCCTTTTTAATGGACGAGTTAGGGTTTTTGCTTAGTTGATATTGTTTGTTTGTGGGAAACGCGGAAATTGTGATCTTGGCGTTGAACTCAACTTATGTGTATTCTGAAACTCGGTTTTATTATTACAATTTTTTCTCAGAAGTGGGTGGCGTTGTTGAGGTGTGGTTCTTGGTGGGTTTTGGGAATGATGAATAATAGTGGTTTGGGGAATGTGTGTTTGGTTTTCAAGTGATATGAAGTGCTGAATATGAGCAATGGTGGTGGGAAGACTGGAAGACAGCTTGATCAGCCTGGCACAGGGAGGAGGAGGAAAGTGGGTGATGGTGATGAATTTGCCCGGGCGATTGCAAAGATTGCGGTAGCGCAGTTGTGCGAAAGCGAGGGTTTTCAGGCGTTTCAGCAGTCTGCTCTCGAGACGTTGTCTGATGTTGTGGTTCGCTATATTTTGAACGTTGGGAAGTCTGCACATTATCATGCTAATTTTGCAGGTAGAACTGAATGCAATGCTTTTGATGTCATTCAAGGATTGGAAGATATGGGATCGGTTCAGGGGTTTGCGGGTGCTTCAGATGTTGATCATTGCCTTGAAAGTTCAGGTGTTATTCGGGAAATTGTTCATTTTGTTAATGATGCTGAACCAGTTATGTTTGCACACCCCATTCCCCGGTTTCCAGTTGTTAGAGAACGGGTGCTTCATCCAAGTTTTTTGCAAATAGGAGAAGAGCCTCCTGGGGAACATATACCTGCTTGGTTGCCTGCATTCCCTGACCCAGAAGCTTATGCACAGTCACCAGCGGTAAATGGAAGAGGGACCGTACCTCATGCAGTCAAATTTGAGCAAGAAAGAGAGAATGGCAAGGGGGAGTGGCCTCTGATGAATTTACAGCAGCAGATGGTCTCAAATATGTTTGAAAAGTCTGCCTTGATTGATCTGGCAGATGCTAAAGCAAAAAGAGTAGCAGCAGCTGAAAGTAACCCGTTCCTTGCTGCACCTTTGAAAATTGAGGACAAGGAAGTTGCTTCTGTTCCTGCTCCAGCTAAGGTGTTTAATGATGTAGCTATTGATAATCCTGTTTTGGGAAATTTTGTTGAAAATGAACCGATTTCAGCTTTGGAGGCATTTGCTCCAGCAATTGAAGCGATGAAAAGTGATTCCAAGGAAGATCTGACAAAATTTGAAAAGCCAACAGTGCGTTTTAAGATTGGGACTAAAAATAAATTATTAGGAAGGTCCATTGGTTTGATCCCACAAAAAGAGGAGCATAAAAAGACTTTGCCATGGTTTGCTATGGAAGATGAAAAGGATGACAGGAAAAGAAGGGCTGAAAAAATTCTAAGGGAATCTTTGGAAAACCCAGATCAGCTTGTTCAGTTGTAAATTAGATTGCTTTAATTAGAATTTGTATACTTGATCAGGAGAATGTCAGGATAGCTAGTTCTGGGATATTGAAATCTAGGTAACTGTCTGGTTATGGGCATTATAGAATGGATGTTACTATTTTGCTCAGGCATGTTCTCACTTTAACAATCTTTCAGGTATGTGCATGTCAATTGCTTGGTAGATCAATTTATTTAATATCTATGCCAAGTTTCTAAAGCACATTTGGACTTTAGCTCTGCTAATGTCGAAGTTTGGAATGACTGCGAGAGAATTCACGGCATAAAAGCACTTCAATCAATATATAAACAATCTTGAGATCGATAAAGCACTCTACCTTTCTGGTTAACCTATTATATATATATATATATATATCGGTAATACTCAATTAAGTCCCATTGTGTCAGTTCACATATTATATTTACTAACAATTGAGAGAAGGTTTCATTAAGTTAGTTAATAGTGACAGATGATCCTCTGGAAATTTTCATTGTAGTACTCATATAAACAAGTAGTACCAAGACTATATTATATGATTTAGTTAGCACTGCTTAATCAATCCCCAGCTGTTTCAAATCACATTAGATTCACTAACAGTTGAGAGGACGTTACATAAGGTTACCTGATATTGATGCTCTGCACATTTTCATTGTAGTATGCTATTGTATAAACAAGTAGTTTCTGAGCTTCATGCCGAAAATTTACAGAGAGAACTATTTGTTTAGTTATAAATTTGTATTTTCCATTATTTCTTCCTTATTAGCATCAATTATTTATTATCTAGGAATGCTCACATTTCTGCTAGTACACAGAAACTGAGTTCCACACTACCATTTTATCTTCATTTTACATATTTTTAATAGTTTTTTATATTTATTTTTCATTTTTCTTATTTTAATTTTGTAGTTATTCTTTCCAGTATAGTGGCCTATTATTTTGGGATTTGTGTTTAAATTGTTTTACTGGACATCTATAAAAGCAGCAATACTTGTTGGCGTTGAATGTTGGACAGTAAAGTACCAAGAAGAGCAAAAATAAATGTAGAAGAAATGATAATGTCGAGATGAATATTTGGGCATGCAAGAAAGTATTAGATGAGGTATGAAGGTATTCAAGTTAAAGTTGTTTCTATTGAGGAGAATATGACATGAATTTGCTTGAAGTGTTTTGGTTTTGATCATGTGAGGGGAAGGTCAAAAGAAAGGCTTTTTAGTGAGAGAAAAATGTAATAATGGATCAAATTTGAAGATAGTTCAATTTAAATCATTAAAATGACGTTCATCAAAGTGATTCCATTGTAATTTGGTTTTTGATAGAGCCCAATGATATTTTTGCTTAATGTTGCTAACTTCATCTAATGTTTTTATCAAATTCTCCCGGATAAGGCATGGTATTTAATTATAGTTATGGTTGTGTGTTCATCTTATTGCTTTGTTGGTGATTTTCTGATAGGAACCATGACTTGGTAGCTGAATCCAAGTCTAAGTAAACCTGCCATCTGGAAGGTTTACTCAAGAAAGAACAATTTACTTGTACTTGGATTCAGCAACCGAACCTCCTCCATCCCCAAAATAGTCATGGTTTCTATAATTTTCAGTTGAGGTATGTGTTGAGCTTGCAAAGGCTTTTAAGTTTTTTCCATGAGTTGTTTGGAAGCTTCGTTTGTGCTCCCGTATTTTGTGCAGACATGTCATTTGCATTCGTTCACGGATTGTCATATGGACTTTTATTGCAAAGTTTTTTTATTAAAAAATTTTCTTTTTAGATAACATATTGACATGAAATGCATGTTGAGGTCCAATCCTTTTGACTAAGAACATATAAAATTGTAAATGCAGCTTGATGATGAATTCTAAATTGGAGCAATTTGTTTTTGAAATGTGCTATTAAACACAAATCCAATTGAAACATTTGTTCGTACTAGGCCTCGTCTGTCCCTCCCACTCATTTTGAACTAGGTGAATTATCTATATGTTGGATCTTGATTTGTTGGACTGTTCGTTCAACATTGTGGAATTAAGGTTAGACATGAACAACCCCTCCTCCCCCGGATCTCTTTCCCACCTCATCTTATTGTTCTGGAATATTTTCTAAATCTTCTTTCACTATCTTCTCTCTAATTCCCTACTTGTTTTATTCTCAAAGTTGTCCTGTGATATACTGGAGTGAGGACAATGTTCTTTTGAATGGGATAATCCTGGATATCAAATTTATCCTGTGTAATCACAATTAATAAATACGTGTTGTCATTGACAAGTGATTGAAGAATTTCTGCAGACTACACTTTCTTGATTTTGAAGTGGTACATTTTAATCTCAAATTTTTAGGATGATCTTATTATCTTATGGAATGCAAATTCAGGGCTGAAAAATGACTTTAGCCTGTTCAATTTGAGTCAAATTTTATCATTTTTTTCAGTTCAGTTTGACGTGACTCATGTTTACAAGCTGTTTGCTTCAGTTCAAAAGTTCGGAGCTCAAGTTCTTGAATTAAAAAAAAAAAACCGATTTCTCCATTTTTTTGGTGTAGATTTCCCTATTTTTTTGTGTGTCGAAAATGATAGTGGAAAACAAAAATGTAAAAAGATTTCATTGAAAGGACTTCTGGTAAAATCGGGGCGTAAATATTGTGTAAAGCTAAAGAGTAAATTGATTGAGGGTTACAATCTTCAAAATTGGCTTTAACTCAATAATTTGTGTAACTCACTTTTTATATTTAATATAATATTTTCTACACTGAGAATAGGCACCCGTGTCTGTGTATGAAGTTCATGAATTAAACTGATCAAATTATAGTTAGTTCAAATTTAATTTATGTAGTCCATAAATCTATTTCATTAAGCTAATTATCGAGTTGAGTTTGAAATATTTGAGTTGGTTCAATTAATTATTAGTTCTAATTGCGACGATATGAAAATGGTTGTAGGTATGTGTTTTATTTTAAATTGCTAGAGATAAGCAAGTACTATACTGTTCAAAAGAATCAAAACCCAAACTTGTGCGGTCGTTTTTGGATTGGGTTACTTTGAAATTTTGGTTCAGATGACCCACATGACTTGGACCAACAAGATTCATCTTACCAAATTTATTATTATACTTTTAGAAAAGCTCATGACCACTTTTTACGAAGTTTTTTTCCCCCTCCTTTGTCAGTTTAATAAACAAGCATAGTAATGATGATTGTATTAAATGCTCACAATGCAAATCAAGTGAAATAAAAGAATAAAATAAAAAGAACCGTTGCATCTAGACGCTATGGTTGTTTATTGAAAAAATGAGACCATTTTAAGATGGAAGAATAGAAACAAAACATGAGAGAGCTATTAAAAAAAGAAAACAAAAAAACCATAAGAGAGAAGGCATAACAAATTAAAAATAAACAGAGCTGAGGGAAAACAATGTTCTGAAAAGTGGGATGAAATTTTTGATTAAAATAAAAAGTGAGATAATTTGAGAAATTCATTTAAGGAAGTTTTAGTATTACTATTACATTTATAACATTATATAAAATCCATATCTTCTTTAGTAACCATATTTGGTTTTTATTTTTGCATAGACATTTTACTCTAATTTATATTTTATAGTTCTCTTAGTCTAAAATATATATTCTACAATTTTCTAATTTTATTTTATTTAACCTTGAAACCGCTCATAAACGACAGTTTATAAAAGTAATTATTATTTTCTCTTTTGTTTTTTAATGCAGGGACGAAGTGTGTTTTTTTGTTAGTCCCCATATAAATAATTAAGTTAATATAAAATAAAATAAAAGGTTATAATAGATCTTTTGAAATTCAGTAAAGAAAAAAAACTATTGATATAGTTAATAAATAATAATTTAAGCAACTAATACGAGAAGCATTTTTTATTCATGAGTATACAAGAAGCATTGATAAAAAAAACCAATTGATTAGAAGAAAATATAATTAATATTTAAATAAATTTATAAGAGTTAAAAGTTGATTAATATAATTATCTAAAATATATTTTTATTCATCAAATAAAATTAAAATTTGTATAAAAAGAATCATATAGACATGTCCAAAGTTTAAAATAATTGGATGCTCAAGTATGGTTAGGGTTTTTTTAAAAATAATAAATAATATGGTTAGGTTGGATTCAATTCGAAATTGAAAAAGAAAGTGTTCCGTCCATAAACTAAACCGAATACACAGGAAGTCGGACATTGAACCCCACACCATAGAAATTGTGTTATGTTCGTGTAATATGAAAAACTCGTCGTAATATTTTCAACAGCCTGTGAAAGTCGATAATGATATACGTTTATCTGTATTTCTTCATGTATTTACGAAGACCGACTATAAATACATGAAGAAAGACAACAATTTATTCAAAACAAGTGAAAACGGCCTAATATGTAGCTAATTGCCCCCACCAAACTATATCATGTGTAGCTAGATTAGAAAGGTAATATATGAAAGACTATAAATGATTCATGTGTAACTCAATTAGTCTCTCTCGGCCGAAGAATACTCTGGGCAACAAAAATAAATAAATGAAAGACTAGAGCTAGATATATTTTTTTTCCCTCAAACTGCATAATAGCCAAAATTACTACTTGGGAAACACCAGTTGCCTGCAATGTGTACGATGCTTTGCAACATCACCTCTCACAACCTCATTTACCAAATCTTTAAAGATCAAACGTTCAATATCCAACACAATATTTGGTACCTCACTGCAGCAGTTAGTCCAAATTGCATGGTGATGCTTCAAATCCTCATCCTCATGCACTATGCTCACATTCCCATTTTGAGCTTGCAACTGATCTATTTCTGTGCATAGCTCATCCAGAAGCTGCTTCCCTTTTAGTGTTGATGCAGAAGAACTGTGCAATATCTGTTTTTGAACTAAAATGTCATTTACAACATCAAATATGAGTTTTCTTTGCATTCTGGGAATCTTCGTGGCACTGACTTCATCATCAAAATGCCTCATCTTTTTCTTCATTTGTTCAAGTTCAAAGAACAAGTTTGGATTAATCAAGTGACCCGGTGAATGAAATATCTGGCTAGGGCTGTGGCCACTGAGAAGACCTGATGCTAACAGTATTTCTGATATGTACTTGTGGTCAGGATCCTTAATGTTATTGAAATTGATGAATTTCTCATCAAACCAGTCAATTTCTTGAATTTCCACCGAGTTCTGTTCACTATCATCATCAGTGCTTAAAGCTTCACCTGTAGCAGAAAATTTGAAGAAAATCAAAATCCTTTCCTGTGTTATTTTTATAATGCCACTAAAATGTGTATCCCGCAAGTTATGTTGGGATATAAACAAGTCCCATATAGATAAAATAAGAGAAGAAATAATAACTTATAATACACACACATATTTCAATGATTGAGAGATCTTTTGGGTGATGACAAAAAATAAAACTCTAAGGACTTAGATCCAAAACGGACAATATCTCATTGTGGAGTTGTGTGTAAAACACCCTTACAAAATATTTGAATGTCATAAATTATTTTAGATTATCCATGATTCAATCTTTGTTGCTTACACAATTTTTTTGAGTTGTCTGATTTCTTTTTCACTGGAGATGGTGGATCTTCCCTATAGAATGCTGCATCAAGAACAGACACAGGACTTGGTTGTTCTGCAGTGACTGTTGCCTCAGCCTTGGATAGTTCCTTCCTCAGATCTTCAAATGCATTCTGACCAACAAAAGAATGTTAACCAATTGATATAGATGAAAAATCTTACTATGCAAGGAACTAGGAGGAAAGAAATGCTTACAATATGATAAATGTCACTCACCTGGATGGAGGTGTTAATGATCTTTCCGGATTGATCAATGCGAATGAATTCAGCCTCACTATGACTGGCTGAGCTTTTGTCGTCAAAATCCGAAATGACATTAAGATGATGCTTAAAATCCCTCCAGTGACAGCTGATCTCACTGATGCGTTCATTTCTTTGCTGCGAAGTCGAGAACTTATTATGTCTCGGTGTTGTACTTGGAGAAGACAATTCCATAGGTTGCCTATTGTGCTCTCTTCTGTTAATCCTGGAATCTGATGATGGACTAATTGGTTGCGAACGCCTATCCAAACCATACTTCTTTTGTAATCTGGGGCTCCCAGTCACTGTTATATAACCGGAGTTGGTGGTACTTTCTTCACTTCTGTCTTGAGGAACTTTCAAGGATTGCATCGACTTTGAAGTTCTTATGTTATTATTTTTATCTGATGAAAGAACTTGTTGACCAAAATGATCCTTGATGCTTTTTGTTGTTGAACTGTTAACTTTAGCAGTTTGCTTCTGAATCAATCTTCCATTTGTGGGATGATTAGAAGAACACCTGCTGAGACCAGATTTACCATGAATTGGCAATTCTGTAGAAGAAGGATTATTGTGTTTTCTAGTAACTTTTGCTGGTTTCATGATGACAATTGGTAATTTACTACCGCGGGTTGAATTTGACAAGTCAATTGTGACAGATACCATGTCTTTTTGTGGTCCTCTTGGGCTTTGTAGTTTTGAGCTTTCATTGAGACTGGTACTATTGCTATTGTCAGATGGGGAATTTGAAGCCTGATCTCCAGCAATATCTAATGAATCTTTATGTCTTTGCATTGCTTCAAGAATCTGTTTAAGGGCTCTGAGATCCTTTCCAGACTTCTTGAACTCGAGTTCCGCCACTCTTTTCTCAATTTCCCCATATACAGTGAGAGAGGGCTTTGAGGCTTTTGTGACAGATTCACTTCCCTTGGAAGCTTGTAATTGAGAGCTTTGGCTTGCATCAGGTTGCCTCCACAGAGATGATTCTAGTGAAAATCGCGAATATGGTGTCACATTTGTGATTGAATCAGCCTTTCTAGACTGAGGCAAGGTGAATCTTTGGTGTTGCTTGTCTTCATCACTTGTGCTAGATCTTCCCAAGAGCTCATTCTTTTTGATAGGGCAATTAGGTGTTCCCATTGGACCCCCACAAGTTTGTGTGCACTCTGGGAGGGCTTCAAGTCCCATCAACTTAGCTACAAGACTGGAAGATCTTTTGGAAGTTTCTGGTTCATGAGGCTGGTTGATCATTGTGCTAGAGTTTCTCCCATACCCTTTATGTGAACCCTTCAACTTGTTTCCTTCATTGAAACCTTTATTGGACCCTTCTCTGCTGTCCAAGGAAAGCCTTGGAAGTTCCTTATGCTTTGTGGCAGATTTGAATGTGTCGTCATAAGAGAGTCGCGGCGAGTCCCAAGGTGTTTTCTTGGACTTGGCAAGAGGGTGTGATAGTTCACTGGAAACTGTATGCCCTTCATTGAAGGATCTGTGTGACCTCAAAGGCCTAGGGGAGTCTATATGTTTCAAGACATTAGTGTGAGCCTTCTTTTCCTCTTTAACCACAGTTTTCAGAGACAATCCTTGAGCTTCCTTATGCATCGAGTCTTTGACAATATGATGGAAATCTGGTGATTGCTGGCATGGCGTATCAAGTTGCTTCTTTGCTACTTTTGGATTTGTGTTTTCATGAATTTTGATATGATTTCTTGATGGGGATTGTGTCTGAATTGTTCTGTTAAACTCGAGGGAAGACATGCTAGATGAACAAGATGATGAAGACAAAGAAGTTATGGATGATTCTGTGGAGAATTGTTGCTTTTCTCTGGCATTCTTCAGATTCTTTGCCTGCATTCGTACTAATTTTTTACTGATTTTGCTAAAAAGTTTCCAAAGAGTTAAGCTACTGCTACGTTACCTTAGCTTTCAGAATTGTACCATTGAGCTCTTTGATTTCATTACCGCTTCCAACTGAGAAGGAAAGGAAATTTTAGTCAGAAGTAATATGGAATATTTTCTGAAAGGTTTAACTTCAACTCAGTTCATTTTTCTTCAATCTTTTTTCAAATGTCTGTTTACATGTTTACTTCTTAAATCAATGATATTCAGTAACTTTCAAGGATTTGAGTCCAGCATAAACCTGGAAGATGTGGTGAGAGAAACAAGGACGTTGAGACACAAAAATCTTTAAACATGCATGGAAAATCCAAAACATGGAATGATACTTGGGAGAATTTTCAGCAACTTCAAGCACCCTTGTTGCATTAAAAGAGGAAAATGAAATAATTCTACATATTCTACAATTTACTTAAAAGATATGTATATATTTGTATCTCTGACTCTTCATGATCACAATGTATCACTCTAAAAAAATTATTTTTCTTTCAAATATATCTGAAGGAGAACATTATCTGAACATCTATTAGTGTCCTTTTATATAAATTTCCAAATTCATATATTGAGCATCTGGCATCTTTTGAGTCTGTTTGGAGCCTGGCGCAATGGTTTGTTTATTGCAATATGGGTCTCTGGTTCGAGACATACATGTCCTCATCCAAACCAAATCAATAATAATAAAAAAAGCATCTGGCATCTTTTCTTTTGAATTCAAAATAGGAAAAATCAGCTTCATATATATATTTCGAAACCGGTTACATAGATTACAGAAGCTAATCGTTAGCTGAGCTTTTGATTAATTAGCTAGTTAGTTATTTGTTTTATCTTTTATGTAATTTTATATTCTGTTATCTTGTGCGTTCGTTAAGATAGGATCAAATTAACATAAAAGATAACAGAATATAAAAGATAACATAAAAGATAAAATAAATAACTAACTAGCTAATTAATAAGAGGTCAGCTAACAATAGAGGAAATACCCTACAGAACTTTTATCAACCAAATTGGAAAATATGTGAATATAGAATATGTTATTTTGAAAAACATACCAAAAAAAAAAAAAAAACTCCAGCCCCAAAATTTAATTACAATTACTTGATTATCAAACCTAAAGTTGTCCACTAAATTTATATATTCAATAGAAGATGAAGTGTAAGAAATTTCATTAAAATGTGATTTTCTTACATCTGCGGCAACCAAACAAATCCTAGTTAAAGATTCGGAAACCAGAATGTATAAACTGCCATAATTTAAATCGAAGCCACTGAATAAAAGGCTATGCTTTCTTTTTTTAAGGTTCTATTCTTTGTCTTATAACTACATGCAGTGAAAGAACTTTAACTACCCCTCCCTCCCTCCCCTCAGAAAACCAAAATAAAAACGAAGGATTTAAATGAAAAGAACACAGAACTCTGTCCGAGGACAAGTTACTGACATATATTGAAATAGGTTAATTGTATCAGTATACATTACTGTAGAAGAAAGCGAATTCAGATATAAAAAAATATTAGTAATCCATACAAAACTTTCCACACATACTCCGGACATGAAGAGCAGCAATTGAATCAGCAACCCAACAAAAGTTCTGTCTCAATGTGTGAGAGATATCAGAGAAATTTTGCACGTACACCTAACTCTTTTAATTTTATGGTATGATTAAAAAACATTTAATATTTTGCATTCAATACTTTCAATTGTTTTCTTAAAAAAAAAAATTTTGTGCTTTTATATTATAAAAATACTTTCTATGTTATTAAAAAGAATTAATTTGTTTACTTAACCATAACTTTAGCATTTGCCTTAATTTTAATAAGCATGTCAATCAAATTTTCTCAATTATTCATGCTTTGTCAAATTCCCCCCCCCCCTCCCCAAAATATTAAAAATACAACAAAACTTAAAAGTAGTACTTAGCAGTTAGCACCGTTATATCACTTTCAGAATGAAGAACAGAAACAAGTATATCACAGAATACCTGAAGTATTGTGTTGAATGTAGCTACTAGTGCCTTGGCCTGTGATGAAACGGTGGCGGTCAAAGAGCTGAAAAAATCCAGTGATGCATCCAATTTGCTTCTGTAAATCTGGGTTTTCATCCTTCAAGGATTTCAAAGCCTTTCCAGACATTTCTTTTCTTCAACTTTGCAGACTCCAACACAAGGCTCTGAATTGTTAAGCAGCAACAACAACAACCATGTCTCTAATGAATAAAGAAGGAGAGATCTTATGTTTCCAGGGCTCAACGGAAGCAAAAGATTTTGAGTTGTAAAGGTGATTCTGAACAGGACCTGGCCGCAAGAATCAGAAGTTTCAAAACAAGATAGTGACAAGAATTTGCATGTTATATGCCTGGAATGCGTAGGCTTGGTCATGCAAATTTCATGTGGGGTGGTTTTTGTGTGTTACATGTGTGTGCATGTGTACAAAAAAGAGAATGTCCTTGGACAGGATCAAAGAGAGAAGAATGAGATGCAGTGGAGAGAATATTATCTACTGCAGAAGCAGAAGGAACAAAAGAGAAGTGGAAACAAAGCAATCACAAAGTGCTACTGCTACCACTAGCATCCACCTTCTATTGACCAACAATGCACAAATTGAAGAGAGAAAACTGAGCCACCCAAGGAGAGAGATGTTTTGTTAAATTCTTCTGGGTTTGCCCACAGAATAAAAGGAATCGCTTTTGTTTTTTGTTTCTCAACTGCTGCAGAGGCCAGAGTGTGTTGTGTTGTGTGAGAGAGGAATTGAGGTGTTGTAATTATTATATATGAGAGGCAAATGTTGAAAAACAGGTTGCTTAGAATATGGTATAAGAAGTAGAGACAATCTTTTAATTACATTACGTAAGAGAGAGGGAAAATGGGTGGAATTTGGGGTGTCAAAATCTGAGTGTCTCAGTGAGAGAGTTGTTAAAAAGTTGAAGGAAAATACTCCATTATTACTAGGTTGTAATTTTGATTAATTTTTATATGATATATAGCTTAGTTTTATTATATTTTTTTGTAAAATGATTTTTTTTTGTTACATGTGTTGAGATTATGGACATATAGATTTAACTTTTATAATAACTAAAATATAACTCCTTAATAAAGAAAGGGGAAGGGGAGGTGGGATAGGTGTGTGAATGTGTGGGTCAGGTAACTGAGTTCTGCTCTTTGGTCATTTCCTAGCACTTCCATGTGGACAAAACAACGTGGGTGGGACTGTGGCTTCAACCCCTCCCCATGAGCATGTGGAGTTTGTCAGAGAGGGAAAGAAAAAAAATGTACAAGTGAGGAAGTGGATTTTGTACCAAAAGAAAAAAGAAAAGTGAAAAGAGATCATTCATTGAAAGCCTGCAGGATCTAAAGCTCTTGTTCAACCATTCCCATACATATCCCACTTATCACCAATTTGCCCTTCATGCCTTCTCACCTTTTTCTCCATACTTGGGACCTGGCCTCTAAATGGACCTCATATCACATTTATTCACTTAGCCAATCAACATGCAAAAGAGCCTTAAACTTTTGTTTTCTTAGTCAAGTATTTATTACATGAATGTCACACACATTTTTACCTTAGTGCACTTGCAAGGCACAGTGGCATAAATAGTCCACATTATTATTCTTTGAAAGGGTAGTCACATGTTTAACCTAACACATCATACATCATAAAAATGGGAATCATAGAAACTTTATAGAAAATGAATTGTTATTAGAGAAAATATGCACTTTCATCCGAGCACAAATTACTAATTATGATAAATTATTATTAACTTTTATAAAAATAACTATTAAATTTATATTATATTCATTATGTTGCATATGCTAACCTAGAAAATAACAGGACTGGTCACTCTCCCACTGCAATATGGTGGGTTACGCTTTTAAGTTGATACATTTAGCACTAGTGTGGTCCTGCTCCAATATTGTGTGTCACAGATATCATGCAAAGCTAGACAGTTACAAACTCTAGGAATATGTTTGGGCCATGCATTAGCATTTTTCAAAATAATGAATATGAGAGATTAGGATAAAATCTTGAGGGAGTCCTTTTGGAAAACTCTTGTTTCCGCCGCAAAGTTTTGCTGCCACATTACTGATAGGACCACGTTATATGCTTTGGTACCGTATGAGTTAGATTTTACTTAGCTATATGCATATTTTATTTGATCAAATAAAAAGCTATTGATGCAATGCTATTAGAATTAAAGAAGATTATTCGTGAAGAAATAGTTGAAACAGATGAATGGGATTTTTCTCTTTTAATTCTAGGTGTCATTGTTTGTTTTCTGAAACTAGTACAAAGACATGAAAATTTTCCTCCCTACGATGCTATGCAAATTTTATATTAGTAAAACCAGGAAAAAGAAATAGGTCTATTGCTGAAAGAATTCATCCCTTCACTGAGATGGATTGCAGCATCATCATGGAAATGCTAACGTGTGATTGTCCATTATCGAGATCTCAATGGGAAAATACTATTCTTTAGTTTCTAAACTTGATAGAAACTCAAATGTTACGTCTTTTCTTCACTCTACTTAAAATAAAATTGGCATTATGACTAACCTAAAATAAATACATTTCAACCATAATTATTTTTGTTCCATATAGGATAGAACACTAGGATGAATGCTATATCTCACATTTAATCTAGGATGGAGCTTCACAATTTTAGTGTCTGGAAGAAAATATAATTTTGTCTTTACAAGCGATTGTTATGCTTGATTTTAATATATAATAATGCGAGAGATTACGTAACAACCTCCGGTTAGACCATATTTATAGAATCCTTTCACATGCATCTATGAAAATATAAGGTTTAAATTTACTTTACGTGTTCCATTTCAATATGACTTTTAATTAACGAAGGTAAGACCCATATTATATGTCTCACCGCATAGTCCTACAATCGATTATTCTCATAATAACCTTATGTAATGTAATATTGTTAAAGGGAGCAAAGATGATAATATAAATGGTTGTTATTTAATCAGAGATCGAAGTTAATCTTGGCTCATGATATATATAATTTTTTTTAATAAGTACATCTTTGTTTTTTTTTATTTTAAAAAAACACTCTTTTTTATACTTCTTTCCCTTCTATTTTCAATTTTCATATGCAGCTCCCTCTATTCTTTCTTACTTTTCACCCTTCATAGATAGTTTTTTTTTAATGTTATTTTTTCTCTTTTTTCAATTTTTGCACTATTACCTTCTTCCTCCCCACTCTTAATTTTTATATGCATCTCTATTAAAAATATTTTAAGAATTTTTAAAAAAAAATAAAAGACTTATTTATTTTTTTTAAAAAGGGTGTATGTATCATGAGACTTCAATCTTTGTTTTGGATATTGAGTTATAATTAGAGGAATTTTTTTTCTCCGAAAGGAATGGATCTAATAAAAAAATTATACCAAAGAAAATTTAATTTTAATTGAAAATATTATAATTGAAATGATCGTATTGATGATCAAGGCAAATTCTAAGCATATACACGATGCTATTCATGTTTTTATTCATTCATTCATTCATCATATGGAGCATTAATATATGTGACAAGAAACCAAAAAATCAACAATCGTATTAAGCAATATTTGTTTGTTGATAAATTATCGGCAGAAATTGTGATCTTATAAAACACTAGGTTAATTGTCTCATAAATCTCACATTGATTATCGATAATCAATTTTATATATGAATAAAAAATAATATTTATTTTACAAGCTTGTAAAATTGAGTTACATGAAAATTTGTCATGCATGAATGTAAAAATAAAGTTCATTAAAATAAATTAAAAAAATTAAAAATTATTTTTATAAGTCAAATTAAATTTTATGAACTGTTTCAAACGTTACATAATTACTCGAAGTTATTTTAGTTGAATTAATAATATTTAATTTGAGTCTCGAGTATAATAATACATAGATGTATGAAATACTTAAAATAAAAATATTTACCATAATAATTTTGCTTTTGCCTGACTTGAGTAACATTATTTTCATTAAAGATAGAGGTGATTAAAATCATAAGGTCCCCGTATATATGTATGAAGGTAGAATGTAATTGAAGCCCTTAGTTTTCCAAAATTCTGCATATAGACATTAATGCTTGAGAGACACTATGCTCAAACGCCAGAACGATGCTTTTTCCATTAGTGGTGAAGTTTATTTCTGGACTTGAAATTTTGTCGCAGAACTAAAACTGCTGTCTGAATATTCGTCTTACGTATGTAATGGTAAATTTGGCTAACAAATAGTGATCATAATAGAATAATAGAGCTGCATATTGCTCGTTTTAGACCATTAGTAGTTGCATTCACCTAATTAAAATGTCACCTATATGGTATAGTTTTTGGACCAAGCAAATGTGTAGGGTAAGCCAAGTTCTGCGTACCTGAAAACTCTTCATCAAAAAAGCATATATTATATGTCCATGAATGGTATTGTCCTGCCAATTATAAATGCTACTATAATCATTTTTTTCTATCTAACTTTATTTTTAGCCATATAAATTAAACATGAGAGGGGAAAATGTTGTTTTCCTTGAGAAGTTTGAGTCATCCAAAACCAGAAATTTATATAGCTATTATAACTTTGCCCATAGTATAATTAGCTTCTAGTTTTAATTCGGGATCCATCTGCACGCTGTATCTATGAAGGTAATAATTGTCCTCCTCAATCTTTATTTCAATGATGTCTAAATTGATTTCACGAAGGAAAAAAAAAAAGAAGCTAATACTCAATTACTTATTTCACAAATTAAAAAAATAGTTAATTTAGTTACTAATAATAAATTTTTGTCTTAAATATATATATAAATATTTTTCTTTCTAAAATTATCCTTATATTACTTTTTTTTCTTCTAATTAAAGCTTATATATCTTTTAACCAATTAAAATGTATGACTTATACTATTTATTTTTTATAATTAATATTTATTTTTCTCCTAATTAATTAGTATATGTTCTTTAAAGAGTTTATAATTAATATATTTTATTAAATTAAGAGAACATATTTTAATTAAGAATATTTTAGTTTAAAAATAATTAATATATAAGACAATATAAATTAGATATTATATAAACAGAATAAATAATTATTTTAAGTTAAATTTTATAAATAAAAACGGAAATAATATTAAACAGAGATAGATAAAAAAAAAATTTATTATGCACGTGTATTATTATTAGTCTTTTGGAAGGGAGTATACTTAAACTTAGGGTCGATTTAACTTCAACTTTTGATAATTTATTTTTATAAACTAGGGCATAACTTTTTTCTCTTAATTAAATTTAAATCCTTTCCTTAATACGTGTTTCATTTAATGATATATTTTTATTTATCAAAAATAATATCTTCACGCAATCACTAAAATATATCTCCGAAATATCAAATAACATTATTTTTAAAAGATAAAATTTAATTACTTATAAATAAAATATTAAATATCATTCTATCTAATTTCATTCTTAATTTATACTCTTTTTAATTTAAGCATCAGAGTATTTTATTCATAATATATGTGTGAGTGAAAAGATTCAAGTTATTTTAGGAATAATTATATATATATTTTTTGACAAATACTTTAGAAATAGCTTCATTGATAAAATTACCCCCTTCAATAATTTTTTGCATAATTAACTATGGAAGATTTAAAATTATTTAAAAATCATGTAATTAAATTTTAATTAAACCAATTAAACATTGATAGTTATGTAATCTTATAGTTATATTTACTTATATATTTAAAAGTATATAGTTTGTTACGTTTAATTTATTTAATAAAATATTAAACGATTTAAAAGCTATATAAGAAAAAATTAAATTTAAATTTATTTAAAAAAACTTTAAGTTAAATAATTGAATTAAT